TAAATTATTAATAAGTTTTATGTGTATGGATGTTTTCTCTGAATGCATGGTCATGTCTGTGTTCCATGTTTAGAGGCAAGAAGAGGTCACTGAGGCCCCTACAACTGGAATTAGAGATGCTTGTGAGCCACCATGTGAGTGATGGGAATTGAACCCAGGTTGCTTGGAAGAAGAATCAGTGCTCTTAGGCTCTCAGCCATCTCTCCAGTCCTTATTTTTTTTAAGTATCTTTACTAGTTCTTTTGGCATGCTAGCTTGTAAGTTTTATATTTGAGCACGTTATATCCTGCAGTATTTGCCTTTAAGTCATATAATAGGGAACATCGAGGTGAAAAATCACTTTATACTTAATAGCAATGAGAGAGAGTCTTTAGACTGATTATTCCTGGCAAACACACACACACACACACACGCACACACGCACAAACATCTATTTTTAAAAATGGCATTGGGATTTGAAGCCAAAACCTCGTGACTTCTAGGTAAGCTCTCTCCCACTGACTTATAGCTAGTGAGGATGTGGGGAAAAGGGAACCTCTGTACAGTACTGGCAAGAATGTAAATTAGATTAGCCACTATGACTGCCAGTATGGAGTTTCCCCAAAAAGCTAAAAGTGGAATTACCATATGACCCTGGGTATGGATCCAGAGAGTCCAGGTCAGCATGCCACAGATACCTGCACATTTCAGGACTACTCATATAACCAGGTCACTAGGTGTCCGTCAGCAGATGAATATACACATGCATACATGCAAACATACACACATACATGTACACATGCAACGAACATATGCATGCATACATACATATACACATACATACATATACATATGCAATGAACATATGCATGCATGCATACACACACATACATACATATACATATGCAATGGAGCTTTCATCAGTCACAGATGAGAATGAAATTATGTCATTGGGTGAAAATAGATAGAAACAAAGATGATCCGAGTAAGAAAATAAACCAGACTTAGAAAGACAAATATCACGTCTTGATGTTTCTCTTATTTGTGGATCCTAGATTTATACAGATACCCAAATCTCATGTACGGAGGTGAGATTGTCTGGGAGAAGGATTCAGAACGTCTGGGAGACTGAATATGGTCAAAGCACATGGCATACTTGAATTAAAGTGTCTGTGAAGCTCATCACTATGTACACCGAATACACGTCAATAAGAAGCAATTAAAATAAAAAAGTATTTAGGTATTTCTCCCAGAAAAAGCGTTCTTCTGTTTTCAGAATCAAAAAAGGGAATGATAATTCCACTGAAAAAGAAAAAAAAAGATTCTTCTTGAGTACATACATCAGCACAGTGTGCTGATTTTTTATTTTCTTTGTGGAGTGACGGGAGGAAAAAGAATGAGTAAATGAGGGGAGAGAAATGCAGGCATAATGAACCACAGTGCCTTCACGTATCTCTGAGAAGGACATGTGGATCTCCAAGAAGAGCAAGTTCTGAGAATGCCACTTTCTTGTGTGGTGATATTTCCATCTTGTGGCCTTCACGGGTATTTCCACCAAAGGGCTCTAGAGTCAAGATGTATGCATTGTGAGCCTGAATGGGAAACACCTATCCGCATACATTCTAGGAATCACTAGAGGTTAGCCAGACACAAGAGCCTAGAAATCTTCCACTCCCAGGCAGGACTTTCCATCAACTGAAGAAGCCGAGGCTTGGCAGGAAGCCAGCAAAAGTGAGGACGAGAGATGAACAGAATGGACGTTCATGGGAATCTGACTTGAAGAGATTTCCAGGAGAAAATGAGTTTTGACAAAAAGGAAACGTTCCTGGTAGCTTGGAAATAAAATGTGATGCTCCTCGTGGGTGCCTTTCATGGGACATAGACACGAGGAGATGAAAGACAAAGATACCACGCCAACAGCTAATGAGAAACAAGATTTCCGCACCAAAAATTAATGAGCTCTTTGAAGGGTAATGTGAAGCAAATGGCTTAGAAGCAAAGAGCTGAGAGGTGGCAGACACAGAGCTGCAAGCTGACTCTCGGATTAGACTGTACATAGGCGGCAGGCTTCTACATATATCTCCCGATGGCAGTCACTGCTTACTGGTAGGTACATCTATAGTGAGAGACGTGACCAAGATCTTAGAGTCTGGAGGCTTCCAGGGCTCAGTGGAGACTATAAGAGAAGATGCGTTGGCTAGTGCCAGGTGCCATTCATCCTCAGAGCTCAGGACCCACTCTCCATTCTGCACCCATCCCTCCTTCTTAACCTTTATGAAAGTAAAGCTACCGTAGCGGCTACACACAATGACACAGAGGAGAGGTACACAGAGACGGGGATGGAACTACCTGTGCTGGGAATACCTCTAAGCTTTGTAGCAAGAACAGCCACAAAATTTCCTCCCCCCACTTTGTGCAGGTCAATTTGGTTTGCATTTTCTATTCCATTACTAATATGTTTGAGCCATTTCCTTCCTCCATCTTACGTCCTAATCTGGGAGGAGATCACAGGAGAGCCATGTTTCTCACCAGAAATGTCTTTCTATTCAACCCTACCCTGCTCCTGTAGCATGTTCAAGAGCCAAGTCTTCCTTTCATGGAACACGGATGTGACGAGATGGAAGACAATGATATTTATCACCTAGAGATTGTCCTTTAATTCATCTTAAAATTCTGCAACTGAGCCGGGCAGTGGTGACACACACCTTTAATCCCAGAACTCAGGAGGCAGAGGCAGGTGGATCTCTGTGAGTTCGAGGCCAGTCTGGTCTACAGAGTGAGTTCCAGGACATCCAGGGCTACACAGAGAAACCCTGACTTGAAAAACAAACAAAAAAATCTGCAGCTGAAACATGACTCCAGAAGTCTTCATTGTAGCTTCACTGTCTGCTTTGGTAGTAGTTCAGTGTGAAGAAGGAGGTTTGGGTATTCCACAGAGATCAGAAACTTTGGGATAGCAGTGGTGTTTGAGTGAGGTTTTTTCGTTCAAGGAGGGTGGGAACGTGTGAGTCCTGGCTTGTTTTATGAGCACAGATAGTTACTCCTTAGAACCACATGGGAGTCTCTACATTAACACGCATAAGCTATACACTCTTTGTTTCTCGGTATCTTCCCTGAATGGTAGCTGAGATCTATATATAAATCTGTTTACTTATCATATTTTGTCAACTGATTGATTATAAGTATGTTAAGATATCAATATGGTAAGGACTGGGGGAATGGCTCAGCCAGCAAAATGCTTGCCCTGCCAGTGTGAGGACTTGGGATCAGATTTCCAGCACTTACATAGAAGGCCAGCCATCATAACACATCTCTGTAATCATCACTTTGGGGGAAGGAGGAGGAAACAGAGACAAGAAACACGTTGACCATCAATGAGATCCAGGTTTGAGACCTTGTCTCAAAATATTAGGTGGACAGCTATTGAAGACATCAAACAGTTGATCTCTGGCTTCTGCAGGCATGTGACACATGCCCCCCCCCACATGAACATACACTACACACTCACACATACAAATTATGACCGTGATAGCCACACATCTGTTTATAGCTTGCAAGTTTACAACTTGCTTTCATATCTCTGTATCTTTATATTTGTATTTTCATATATCTGTATCATCTTGAAATGACACTTGGTTAGAGAGCAGGTCCGATATAAGGGCTGTGTTACAGGGGAAGAAGCTGTTGCTTAGAGAGACCTGGCTTGCCTAAGATCACAGCTTAGAAAGGGGGTGCTTGGAGAGAGAGAGAGAGAGAGAGAGAGAGAGAGAGAGAGAGGAGGCTGGAAAAAAATTTTGAAAAAGCAAGGGGGTGCTGAAATTGAATCATTTGATTCAGAGCCAGGGGATAACCCCATTCCATTCTCACGAAGTCTCTCTGATAAAATCTGGAACCGAGAAAAACATACAAAGAGTGTAAAACAGAGTCCGCATGAAAAACCAAAGTTCACATGTAAGACAGGAGCAGACGTGTCAGATACAGTCTGGGCCTGGTTGTTTCCTTCAGAAGTTCGTGGGTTGACAAACATTGTGATGTCACTTCCGTGTGTAATTCAGAACTTCAAGACAACTAAGCGGCTATCCTGTAAAATACCTGCAAGACCTCCACTTACACGCTGATTTTCCTAGCATTTGGGCTAGTGTTTCCCTTTGAAACATTTATCTTTTTAGGTTTGCCTTGCCTTCCACATTCTTGTGTCCCAAGCTTGTGCTTACCTGGCCAACTGGCCAGTCCAGCACAGGCTGAGTGACGTCACAGCGAATGCAGTGTCTGAACACAGCACTGCTTTCCTACTTGTTGGAGTACGGAATAGAATAGGTATTAACCAAATACCGCTTATTCACAAGGGAAGATACCTTTAGCTCAGGTGTTTACCAAGCCACACTAAATCAGCTCCCAGACACTTGAGAACTTGCAGGAGGTGTCTAGACAACGGACTAGTAATCAGTTGAGCTGTAGCTGTCCAGCAACAGCTAATCAAACACCAGCAGTTTGGTCGAAGTCAGTCTCTCAGATGTTTGAAAAGGTTTCAGGAATCCAAAGTTCTACTTGGTGCTCATTTTGATATTGTGATTTTTGTAATCACTCTGGTTACTAAGATCGTCCCTATCTTAGCTGACTTAGAATCACCTGGGAGATGAAGGCATACCCACGAGTGTGTCTAAGAAGGTGCCCTCAGAGGGGACAGCCTGAAGAGAGACTCATTCTGAGGCAAGCACCATCCCACTGCCTGCGGGAATGGAAGGAGGGGAAGAGCAGGTCCTTGCCTCTGCTTCCTGGTTGGTCAGGAAGTGAACAGATCTTTTATGCCACATACTATGACGGCTGTGATGTCCTTCCCAAGAATATGAGACCAAATGTGTTGTAGACTAAACCCTTGGAAACCATGAACCGGGTTGGTCTCTCAAGTACTTGTGTGGTGCTGACACAAAAGAAAACAATGCAGTCATTATGTTTCTTTCCTGGGTCAGCCTGATTCTGCCTTATGACACACAGAACTGCTAGCTGAGTGAGAGACTTACCTGCCAGGCCTCAACCTTCTTGATGTCTGCACAGGACCCATTGGTGAACAGCCCTCGTCCGGGTAAGCAGGTGTATATGTCTTGCAGGGCATGGGCAATGGAGTAGACAGCTAAGTACACGTTGTAGGAGATCCGTAAATGTTCATAATCCATGTAAGGTGTCTCCACGCTGCTGATGTTCTCATCCCCTGTGCAGAGGGGTCGGAAGGCAGTGGAGCTATTGCTTAACCTGCTGCCACCTTCCTCGTGACTTCTTAGGAAGGTGTCCACAGGCAAAGGCCCTTTGGCGCCTTCTTGCAGGTGGCAATTGAAAGTCTCTTCCCAAAACTCTTTGGCAAACCCATTGTGGACCGACTTCCGGGGATGGACTTTCTGCAGGAATTCTCGGAAGCCTGGGATCTGCCCAGCCTTCAGACCGAACCCAATGGTGCCCCCAACCACGTGGAAGTATTCAGGCATAGCAATCAAGGAGGAGCTGGCCCAGGCCTCGCTGGCCAGCCAGATCCTGCCTGTGATGTTGCGCCGCACAATCTCCTTGATGAGGGGCTCTAGGTCTGGGCCGCTGGAGAAAACGACGATGACCTTGGCTGTGGAGTTCTGGATCACTTCCACCACCTGCTGAATCTCCTTCTTATCCGAGTACTGGGAGATAAGCTCGCTGAAGTCGATGCAGATGTCCCTCTCCTCGGCTTCCTCCCGGAACTTCTCAATGCCTGGCCGGCCGTAGTCGTCATCGGCTGCGATGGTGCCCACCCAGTTCCAGCGGAAGTACTCGATGATGTCGGCCATGGCGGTAGCCTGGTGCTCATCATTGGGGATGGTGCGGAGGAAGGATTTGTATTGATTCTTATTGCTAAGAAGCCTGCTGGAGGAGGCATAACTCACCTGGGAAAAGTCAAGCCATGAGTGAGTGAGTGAGGTTCCAGCCGAGTTCCAAGGCTTACCTTAATGTCACTTGTCAAACAAGTTTAATGTGGGCAGGATGGAGGTGAGTGAAAACTCAGTTTCACCCAGACACGAACCCTGTTAGCTTATTGGGGGAGCTTCCTAGTTCCCAGGGCGTGATTCTTCATGATGCTACCTTGAAACTGGGTCTAGCAATAACCTTCGCACCTCTATAGAGAAACGTACTAATCTCTTCAAGGAGTCCTGTGCCCCCTGTACCTTCTAGCTTCCTCTAACGCTTCTCGTTGGTTGTACTAGATCTATGTGTTCACTTGACGCATGCTTTGCCTGTTGGGCCCAGCTTCTGATCTGAACTTTATAACTGCCTCCACTGCTATGAGTGCTTTGTACTTAATCCGCCTCTTGGAGAATCAGCTTTTCTCTGGTTATGAATTTCAGTCTCTTCAAAGGACCCCAAAGAGGTCCTTCCTCCTCCTCTGCTCATTTTCCCTCTTCCCATTTCCCGTCTGTTTCCCTGGGCTCCTCTCCTAGTTGCCCCTGTTCTTTAGGTAAAACTAACACCAATTCTGGCAAATTCTGTTTAGCTTTTAGGTTCAGTTAAATCATTCAAGCTCAGTATGTAAATTCAGTTGCCCTGAACTTCAATAGCAATAACAAACATCACCAGTAAAACACCCTTTTTTCTGCCTTGTCAGTGTTTCAACCATCATACAAAGCCCCTTGTTGAGCTTCAGGGGAGGACTAAACCTCCATGCCTAGCTTCTGATGGGAACCTCTAAAACACTGCGGGAGCTTAAAAGGAGGTCTGGAGAAGGTGTGCTGTTGACAGGCCCCCCTCTGCACTGGAGGCAGCTCTGCGTTTGCTCATAAATGTCCCTCAGGGAAGAAATTCTTTGATGTCGAGAAATGACTGCTGGGAAAGAGCCCAGGTACCACTATGTAGTATAGAGCTCTGCAATGTTTTAAAAAATATTGTGATTGAGCTAGGTGGTGGTGCACGCCTTAATCCCAACACTCAGGGGGCAGAAGCAGGCATATCTCTGTGAGTTTGAGGCCAGCCTAGTCCTCAGAGTGAATTCCAGGATAGTCAGGGATACACAGAAAAACCTGGTCTCAACAAACAAACAAACAAACAAAAATCCTAGCACAGAAGATTGACAGCGGAAGAGCTGGCTAACCCAGGGTCCCTTCTCCCCAGGGAAGAGCTGGCTAACCCAGGGTCCCTTCTCCCCAGGCACCAGCAGATTCCTGAAAGCTACAGAGGACCCACACCTCTGCTTGGGCCCCTGGTAGCACCCCAGGTGTCCTCACAGCTCACCAATCAGGGAGTCCCAAGTTAGTAGAGCATATCTTCTGAAGAACAGAACAGGTTTCCTCGTAACAGCATCCTTCTGGGAAGTGGCACAAAGCTCAACAGTGTTTGTCCACTAGTTTTCTAAAGCTCGCTTGAACTTCTTCAGAAACCAAGCGGAAGAGACGCGCAAGGATGCTTTTCCTATACTTCTTACTAATTAGCTTTGTTTGGGCAATGTTTCAAAGTCAACATTTCCAACAGGCTTCTTTTCATCGATTGAGAGTCTTTACATGAAGAGCGTCAAAGATACTGGCCTAGGAAAGACTCAGTCAAATTTGCCAAAGGCAAGCATAGCTTCTCTGGCCGGGTTTTGATCATAGATGCTGTAATTCAAAACTGACAACTTTTGAAATCTGAATAATCCCCTCTTGCTCCCACAGAAGTTCAGGGTCTAGGTGGTTAGATGAAATGACTTGTGTACATGTTTCTAGAGCCTGTTTGGAGGTCTCTGCAGGGAGCACAGCTACTTGGTACCCTCGACTGTGATCCTCTTCTGTTCAGGGAAGATCCCCCTTGACCATGTGAACAGTGTCAGGAGGAGCGTACGTGTGGTGAGGGAGGAAGGGGAAACCTGCCTAAGCAGCCAGATCAGCCGCATCAATCCTGGCGACCAATGATGGGGAGGGGCAGATGTCCCATCCAGACCACTGTCACATCCAAAATGTGTCACATTCAAAAATGTTATTAATTTTTGAAAGCTTTGTGGATCCAAAAAACTGACTCGGGAGTCAGGGTTTTACAAAGACAAAATTTACCATTACTAACGTTTGCCCATCATTGGTCATTTCTTTATTTTCTTTGGAAAAAAATGAAACAAAAATGTTCATAAAGGGATACAAATTAAAGCTCAAACTACCTCTCATGGACATAGTCTCTTAATGTATTTACTATAATATTCAACCAGTTTGAAATGATGGCCTATAAAATCAAGAAATGTCACTCAAAGAAAAGCCCTTAAAGCCACATCAAACTTTTCTTGACAGAGGGGAAAACTAAGTGGATAATTCAAAAACCTTCTGACCACAGTTTCTTCCAGCTGGTCTTTTTTTTTTTTTTTTTTTTTTTTTTTTTTTTTTTTTTTTTTTTTTTTTTTTTTTTTTTTACAGTCACTTGGTGGTACGGCTGAGTGTAACAGGGCTGGGCATGGGGCCCTACCCACAGAGCAGAGTTTCCTTGCTCTGTCCTGTATCCACTGGGGAATGATCAATGCTCTGCATAGGCTGTAGCCTAGCTTATCAACCCGTAACCTCTGCAGGAGGGACCCAAGCAGAGTGACTTTTAGAGCTCCCTGAGTGATTCTAAAGTGAAGCTACAGCAAAGAACTCCCGATGAAGATGAATCTATTAGTTTGACTGACAATCACTATAGGTTTTTTTGTTTGTTTTTGAGACAGAGTATCACTGTGTTGGTAGTGCTGGAACTCACTGTGTAGAGCAGGCTGGTCTCAAACTCAGTGTGTGTGCACCACGGCACACAGCCAGCTGCAGTCTTCTTAACACATTCATCATTCACACCCTTGGCCTTTGACCCTCGCCATGCAGAAGCGAAGCTCTCTCCTTCTCATTCTTTTCTTTCTTCTTTCCTTTTTATCTAATGCCGCTTCCATCTCCTAGCACTCGGCTACCAGATGACAGCTCATGGTCAGGGTGCACTGAAAATAGTGCCGCACAGTCTGCCAGACTTAAACATATCCAACCTGACTAATGCAGACCGGGACAGAACATTATGGTACAAAAATGACAAAGCCAGGGCTTTCTTATGGGCCACATCTTTACTTCCTGGAAGCAAGGGTTTCATACACAATGACAAGAGTGTCTGTGTTGTTGCATGTCTGCAAAAGGATTGAGGCTGTCCGCAAAGAAGCAGACCCCCTTGCAAGAAGAGAAATGGCAATTCATTCATATGAATTTTGAATATTAAATTTTAAATATTAAACACTGAAAAAAAAAACCTGAAGTCTGATCTCTAATTTACAATCGACGGCTAGCCCACAACCAAGCTTATCCATGGACATTTAAGCTCTACTTGCAATTCACACTTCTAAGATCTACTTGCAATTCACACTATGATGAAGGGATGTAATAGATCCATAGTCACTAATTCCAAGAGAGGTTGGCTGGATGGGTCATAGTGCCAAAGGGGACAATCAGGTAATAAGATGGCATTTAGAGTTTGCTGTCATGTGGTATGGAGGAGGAACGCAGCTTTGAATCAATGCTTATCAATACTTGCTTTGGTGAGTGATTGGTATGTGAAGATGCACCTTCCTCCCGCCCAGGATGGAGACTGTTTGTTCATGTGGGCTCTGTAAATATTTGTTGGCAGAAATTAGAGCATGCTCCATTTCAGAATGTGGGGACAGTGATCATACTTCTGCTTTAAGGGGAGACCTGCTTTCTTTCCCACTGAGCTAAAGTGACGATAGGGAAATTTTGAGGGGACAGAATTAGGGGCAGATATTTCTCTTTTGATGGTGGTATTCACATCCTGGGGCGTTATCCTTGCGATAAACAAAGAATGCCAGTTACTAAAGGAGTAAACTGGGAAATAACAGGAAAAAAAGATCAGGATATGTACATGCAAGTTATGTTTAAAAGAGAACTGGAAGAGCAGTGATGGTCTCAAGGTGTCAGAGACCCCAAGCGCTCATGGTACAGGGCCGAAACAACCTTTGTTCCCGTGGCAAGCCACAGAGGACACTGCTAGCCGCAGATCTCCAAACCTGGTCCTCCTCCTCCCAGCCTCTGGTGCCCATCTAAGAAGATGCCAGTTGGCCTGGAGAGATGGCTCAGTGGTTAAATGGTCGAACTGTTCTTTGAGAGAACCTGAATTCCATTCCCAACACCCATGTTGGGTTGCTCACAACCACTTGTAACTCCAGTTCCAGGAGATCTGACTCCTCTGATTACCAAAGGTAGACACAGGCACTCACGTACATACCTGTAAGTGCACATGCACGCGCGCGCGCACACACACACACACTTAAGAATAATAAAAATAAGTTCTAGAGGGAGGTGTCAGTACCTGTGGGATGTAGAAGAGCCCAAGCAGGTTGGCCACGGCCGTGGAGACGCCCGAGCCGGTCGCTCCCACCACTGCGATAGTGGAAGGGATGTGCTCTGAGCAGTTGCAGAACTCATCCAGGTTCAAGGAATCGATTTTGTTCTGGGCAACAAAACTCAAGGTGGCCTCCAAGGCCTTGGAGACAGTGTTACAGGTGTCGAATATCCTGTATCCCAGCGTCATGTTGGGAAGAAGGCTGGGGCTGCTGTTTATCTCCTCGATGGCAAATATCATGGCTTGTAACCATCGAAATCCACGGAAGTTGTACCTGGAAAAAAAGGCACGGACATCGTGGGAGAGTCTGGTCAGCTGGTTAGTGTACTGGCCTCCGGAGCTGGGCTTGGATCTGGGCTCTATTACCCTGCCATTTTGGGATCTGGTTCAAGGCCCTTTGTGTGACAACAGGAACATTTTCCAATTGGGCTGGCTTTAAAGATGTCATGAGATTTTGAATTAGGGAACAACAATAAGAAGGACTATTTTGGTACTTAATGAATAATTTATAGCTGCGTTCTCTAGCATAAGATTCTCAGTAGCTGGCGTGGAGGGTTAGTGGATGTAAGGCGTGGCTGAGTGTTGTGCCTGCCTCTGTGACAACAGCACTCGGCAGGTGGGAGCAGAAGGGTTGTGAGTTGCAGGCCAGTCCTTGGTTACATGGCAAATCCTTGCCTTGAAAAAAGTCACCAGGGGACTGTAAATATGTTAGGGTATCAGTATGTGGGACCTAAAAACAACCCCAGGCTTACAGACTTGTCGTAAATTTAGACTGTGACATTGCTGGAGGTTGAAGTAGAAAGTGAAGTGAACCCTCCGTAGAAATGAGCCTTTGAAGACCATGCACAGATGGGGTAGTAGATGCCTTGAGAATCATATAGGCGGCGGTGGCGCATGCCTTTAGTCCCAGCACTTGGGAAGCAAGGGTAGGCCAATCTCTGTGAGTTCGAGGCTAGTCAGGACCCAGAGATACACTGTCTTGGGGAAAAAAAGCAAAAAAAAAAAAAAAAAAAAAAAAAAAGGTATGCTTTGGGCTAATTCATAGTTTCTGTTTCAAAAAATGATCATTATTGCTTTTTGAAGAAAATTATTTTAAGTAAAAATCAGATAAATCAACAATGAAATGGTGTTTGTTTTTCATCCTCCTGAGCCTTGGAGGGTGAAGGCTGAAGAGATGTGGTACTCAGTGAATCTGAATCCAGCAGAAAAGCCAGCACAGGCTCCTCCTCTGTGCTGTGGACTCATGACTCTAACTCAGTGGCAGGAGGGACCTGACCAGTCCACCGGATGGTCGCGTTTCCAGAGCTCCTGATCTACCCTGAATGTGAAATCTGCCCTGCCGCTTTATGCTTCTTGCACTATTTAATTACTTGTCTCAAACTTGTAAGATTTCTAGGAGATACTAAATTATTTTCAGCATAGTAATTAAATATTAATTTTATTAAACCACTGCTAAGGTGATTTAGCTGTCTTTAATACATTTCCAGGGCAAACCCCTTGTTTGTTTTGATATCTATTCTGTAAAGAACAGCGCAGACAGCGCTTGTCCACTTGGGTCATGCGAAGGATACAGTCAATATTAACACTATTCTGCACTTATGTTTCCTAAATTCACGAGAAAAAATATGAAAATGTTATTGGCTGTCCTTATGGCATGAACAGAAACCCAGTTTTGTTCGGATAACGTTGATCTTTCACTCTCATTTCCAGCTTTCGGGAAGTTCAAGGTGAAAGGCTGGGTCCCTTCTAGAAGTTGCAGGGTGCAGAGGGAAAGTGCTGCTCTCTGAAGAGCAGAGTAATGTGTGATGTGCGCTCACGGCCTCTGTGGTGTCCCCATCTAAGGGAGGTCCCACTATATAGTTCTAAAGGGATCACAGCCAAGGAGGGACCGTCAGATTGAAGACAGACAAAATGGTGACGGATTAAAAGAAACCGTATCGGGGGAGGGACTATATGAGCAATGGGATTCAAGATCATGAAGGGGAAATCTACAGAGACAGCTGGACCAAGCTCGTGGGAACTCATGCACTCTAGATCGACAGCTGTGGGGCCTGCAAGGGACTGAACTAGGCCCTCTGCGTGTGGGAGACAATTGTGGTGCTTGGACTATCAGAGGGACCCCTGGCAGTGGGCTAGCTTGTTGGAGCCCATTCTTTATGGTGGGATGCCTTGCTCAGCCTTGATGCAGGAGGGAGGGGGCCTGCCTCAACTTAATGTGCCAGGCTTCATTGACTCCACATGGGAGGGCTTACCCTTTGGAAGGAGTAGATGGCGGGTAGGCTGGAGAGGAAGCAAGTAGGGGAGAAGGGAGGAGAGGTGGGTGGGAGAACTGTGGTTGGGGAGTAAAATGAAGAAAAATAAATGAAAAATAAAAGAAATTACATATAAGAGGAGCTGATGAGAAAACAGAGACTATTGAGTTGGAGACGAAAAGATTTTGGGGGTCATGTTAGCTGCCTTCAGATGTTTTGAGAGGCCATAAGATGCTTAAGCAACCTGTGATGTCCCATCTCGCCAGGTATGTCCTCTGTGTGTGACAGGGTCAAAGGTGCGTAGTGTGGGGAGTAGGGTAGAGAATGGAGGTCCAGCTTTTTTTTTTTTTTTCAAGACAGGGTTTCTCCGTAGCTTTTTGGTTCCTGTCCTGGAACTAGCTCTTGTAGACCAGGCTGGCCTCGAACTCACAGAGATCTGCCTGCCTCTGCCTCCCAAGTGCTGGGATTAAAGGCCTGCGCCACCACGGCCGGCCGGGCTTTTTATGAGAAAGATGCTTTAACAGAGAAAGTCTCCAAATGCAATGGCTTGTATTTAGAAACTGCTTGCTTGAGTCTTAGTGGCTACATTGTTTCTTTTAACTAAACCCATTTATTGAAGAGGAACAACAAAACAAAGGGAAGCGGCCAATGCTCATGAGTCATTGGAGCACGTAGGCTAAAGAGAAATTTCCTATGGAAGTTTACAAGAGCTAAATGGGGCTTCCTTCTATAAATTTCTAATTACTCAGTCAATGAATGGATAAATTAATTAATATTGCAGGATTGATGATGAAACTCAAGTGAGTTCTAGAAAGGGCTGTACCAGACTGTGAGACAAGGTCCTGCTGCTGAGACAGGGTTTTACGTAACCTGGAACTCTCAGTCCTGCTTAATTGCTGGAATTTCAGTCTGTACCACCCTGCATCTTGCATTGAGCAGCATCGCTGCCGGATGCTGTCACTAGAACAATGATGCTCTAGTATCAAATGACTGGCCCTTGGCCAGCCTGGTCTTTTCTATGTGATACCCTGGTGTTTTATTTTATTTTATTTTTTTTAGAAAAAGACTTCTTTAGGGAAAGAAAACCGAGGAGTCAATATGCCTCAGCATGATAGCCCACTATTTGCAAAAAGAGAGAAAAGGTTTTTAATGTTCTTTTGGGTCTAGCTAGTTTCTCTATCTACCCAGAGATAGACAGTCCTTGATACAGCCTTTCCTTACCTGATGCACTCCACGGACTCTGGCCTTGACTTCAGATCTTGATCTTTGGCTGCTACTCCAAAATGGATAGGAAAGAGACCCCCAAGAATAATGTCCCCCTTCTTTTGGGCTCGCTGGTCGGGCCCGTAGGCAGAGGAGTGACAGGCAAGAGCCAAGAGGGCCAAACAGCAGCTATAAGATGCCATGGCTCTGCCTTCTCTCTAGGGGGGCAGTCAAAGGTGCTAGTGGTCTGGGGGCCCCAAAAATGTCCCCCTTTGGTGCAGTTCACGCCTTCTGGTGGGGACACATGTCTACAGAGTGGTTAAGGACACAACAGAAGTGATTGCGCTTGTTTCTCCATTTCTGCCTTCTCCGTTGCAGAGGTGTAGGATGGTTGGTCCTCGAGTCCTGAGAAGCGACATCATGTAGCCACCGCCCCAGGTGCTGAAAGAGAGAAAGAGAGAGAGAGAGAGAGAGAGAGAGAGAGAGAGAGAGAGAGAGAGAAAAAAAGAAAGACTACATCACATCTGTATGATGACAGAGGTAGCTGAGAATTTCCATTTCACGGGGCTCAGAGGTAGCAGATTGAGATGCATGGCTTAGAATCACAGTTTTACTGTACTGTGTGTGAGTCACAGAAAATGTCAGTTGCCTGTATTGCAGAAGGGCTGTATCCAGTTCTGAGAGGCAACATTCTGAAGAGGCCACTCATAAGTGTCGTTAAGTGTGGGCTGCTCTTCATCTGCTGACCATAAACCGCTCATCCTTCTGCATGAAGGATGCATGGAAATGACCCAGAAGTAAGAGCTCGTTCAGTTAAAATACCAATGACACTTTATTCCCCGTATGTTTGTATAGAAAACACAGAACAAGTTACATTTAAATTCAAACCTGACGTCAGATCCAGCAAAAGTGTCAGAGAAAATCCTTCGTTCTTTACTTATTTTTATGGCCCACACCCTTTAGTTAAGGTCTCTGTTTCCAGTGTGTAATGTAACAATTTACAAGACTTTTAAGAACAGTTTATAGGAAACACAGTCTCTTAAACGGTGGGTGTAACAGCAGGTCATGCAATTAGCTGTGGGGAATCCTGGCAATTTTGATAGAGGCCAGCAAGATGTCTCAGTGAGTAAAAGTGCTTGCTGTGCAAGCCGATGACCCGAGGATCTGAGTTCAACTCCTGAAAGGGCAGAATGGACTCTTAAACATTGTCCTTTGATCTTAATGTGTACAGCGGCAAACATACCCCTCCCCCCAGTTTAACTTTAAAAGGAAAAGAAATTTTGGCAATAGGAAAGACTTTGTGAAGAAGCTATGACCAGAAATTAATTCCAAATCAAATGCATGTTGAATCTGAGGCACTCTGGCAGCATTTGCACAGACTGCACCATGTGACTTCACTACAGCTGTGGTTCTGAACCCACAAGGACCATGGCACTAGCCTGCCATCACACTGGGTGACAAGCTAACGCTTCCGGAAATGCCTCCTTTTAAGACAATTGTGTGTACAAACTGCAGTGTTCCATTAAACATACCAAGTTTCTGTCTGTTATTATTTTCTTTTTAAGATTTATTTATTTTTATTGTGTATATAGTATTCTGCCTGCAAGCATGTCTACAGGCCAGGAGAGGGCACCAGATCTCATTACAGATGGTTGTGAGCCACCATGTGGTTGCTGGAACTTGAACCTAGGTCAGGACCTTTATAAGAGCAGGCAGTGCTCTTAACCACAGAGCCATCTTTCAGCCCAAAGTTTTCTGTTCTTAGACACAGTGGTTTAGAGCAGAAAGCAGATGTTTAATGTGTCCCTGTTGCCATTCCTTGGCATGTATTGAAACATTGTGTCTTCAGATTGTATTGTGTCAGAAGGTTTGATTTTTAAACTTTGCCATTTCAGTTGCTGACTTGATTGTCTTAAAAAAAAATTCAACAATTTTGGCTTGGGGATGGGGCATATTTTCAACAATATGTATTGTTGTCAGAAGGTTTGATTTTCAAACTTTGCCATTTGAGTTGCTGACTTGATTGTCTTAAAAAAAATTCAACAAATTTGGTTTGGGGTTGGGGCATATTTTCAACAACTTCTGATTTCTAAACAGATTTCTGTCATTTTTGTACTACATATTTATATGAAGCGGCATGCTCAGCATCAATGGTTATAAACCAAATATCAATGAACTCTCAAGAACACTGAAGATGAGGCATCGTTTTTAGCTGAGATTTAATTTTTCATGTAAAAATAAACACACACACCCATATCAGTAGTATGCAAATTCCTGTTGCCCTTATTAAATGTTAAAATTATATGCATACTATATATCCTATAGGGTTTTGTTCTTATTTTAATACAGGATCTCTCTATAGGTTTGGCTGGCCTGGAGCTCTCTATATAGGCCAGGCTAGCCTCAGACTCACAGAGACCCATCTGCCTGCCCTCCCCCCAGTGCTAGGATCTAAGGTATGCACCACCATGCCTGACTCCTATAAGATTTAATTGTAAACTAGTCACAGCCAAGAGTTATTTGAGCAGAGGTTTGATTTGGAAATTGCCTGTGTAAGATTCCCCTGTGGGCTTATCCATGCAGGAATGTCTTGACTATTACAGTGCAGGTGGGCCCAGCCCACGGTGACTGGCCCCAGTCCTAGGTAGGTGGGCCCGGCCTAGTGAGGATCATGTAAGGGACCCTGTAAGCAGGATTCCTCATGGTTTCCATTCCAGGTTCCCGGCTTGAATTCCTGCCTTGATCTCCCTCCGTGAAGGGCTTTGATCTCCAAATGTAAGATGAAATAAACCTATGTAGCCCTAGCTGTCCTGGAACTCACTCTGTAGACAAGGCTGTCCTTGAACTCACAGACATTCCCCCCCCCCCCTGCCTTGAGTGCTGAGTGTAGGGGAAACTCTGCCCAATTGGGGGCATGTTCGCTTCGGGCTAAAGTTTACATATAAATCTGGCAGCGTGAGCCCTGCTGCTCTCTTTTTTTTTTTATATCTTCTGCTCATCGCTGGATCCCTGATGTTGTAAGCTATTCCTTCATTAAAATTTGCTGTTTCATATTAAGCTAGCCTGGTTATTACGCCAATGACAGCTGAGATTAAAGGCATGACGGTTTTTGTTTTTCACAGTAACAGAATGAAACTAGACCATTAAATAGTCTTAATACTTTTCTGATTTATTATCCATAAAGATTTTGTGTGACTATTCTATATGTCTATATACCTAAATCCATATCTTTTTTTTCCCCCAGAAAACAGTGGTGACAAGTGCAAAGGGGTAAGGGTCCTGGTTAATTATGGATCAGTCACAGATTCTGACTGTAGCCTTTCTGCTGTAGCCTGATTGGCCTGCTGAGAACCTCTGCTGTGTTTACCCCACATCCCAGTCCCCCCCCCCCACTGGGTGGGTCAAATGTCGATTGCCTTTTGATGTGGTCTAGTAGATAGTCTTTCTCAAGTCCAGGGCCAGGGACTGTACTGTCACCCAAACCTCCTCATCCAGATGCCTCTCCAAGCTGCTTTGCCTTAACAAGTCCCTAACTCCTCTCCCTCCAAGATTTGCTGCTCATTCCTGTTTTCTCTTACAGAACTTTATTTTCTACCCACCAAGAAAGAAGCTGGGGCATCAGCCCTGTTTCCTTGGCCGTCCCATCAGCACCCTTCACACTGCAGAGCCTACTTCCTAAATCCCCCTGGAATCCACCTAATTCTCCCATCTTCTCCCAAATTGGAAATTCACCCAATTTCCAAGGGCATCTAAAAGTCTATTTTTTTTTTACCTGAATTTATACTTTTTTTCCTAACTCGCCTTCCCAGTGTAAGTGAATTTTTATTGTTGTTGTTTAGTTTTTGAAACAGGTCTTGTTAGAACTCTCTACGTAGCCCCCAGGCTGTCCTCAAACTTGAGATTCTCCTGCCTCAGCCTCAAGGCTTAGAGGCATGTCCTACCATACTCAGATGCAGCCTTTGGTTTTGTCACTTTGTGATATATCTTTGCAAGCCTTGCTCTGCTGCATGGAGGTGTATGTTACAGCCGAGGGCCACACACTCTAGGGAAGGATGGCTCTGTAGTTTAAGACTCTCACGGAGCCGAACCTCACCACTGGACTGTTCCTGCCCTTGGTGTGCCAAGGAAACAGGCTTCTGACTTGGTTAGGGTGGCTTTTCCCCTGCATTCTTTCCTAACTAGTTATTCCTAACAGTGCCTGTCTTGAGTCACAACTCAGTTATTCTCTTTACGTTAAGTTTATTTAAATCACATCAGCCCTGTTTGCCTTTCTCCAAGGCAGCAACACACACAAAGCCAATGCTAATATTTGTTTTGTCTCCCCCCTCCCTGCTAACTGGCAGACACATATCGGAAACAGCTGGTTCCGAGACTAAGAGGTCCTCGCCATCGTGAGGAGAGCAGAAGGGGTGTTTCAGGACAGACAGGTGCTTTCTCACTGAGTTCCTTACCCAAGAGGTGTGGGAGGGAGATGGGGTCTCTAGGTGGATGATAATTTATTCAAGGAACATTTACTGGGCTCCCCTTGTGTTAGACACCAGGGCATATGAGACACCAGGGAAAGAAATGCAAAATTCTTGCCTTCCAGGTATTTATAGTTTAAAAGGAGACAGAACATGCATTATAATTACAACAGTGCAATTATTATAATGAAGCGGGAACTAGGGACAGAGCCAGCACAGACCCGAGTGATGTTCTCTGGTGATAGCTTTGGGATTGAATTGACTCACAGTTTTGAATGACACACAGCAGAGGCTGGCTCTTCCTCATCGTGGAAGCCTACCACAAAGTGCCACATCTGAAATCTAGTAGATGTTAACTGAGTGACTGAAGCGGGATTGTAGAGATCAGGTATGGCTGAGCAACTTGCAGACAGACTAGAGAAAGCAGCCACCCTCCCTCCCTGACTTAAGGACTCTGTGGGCAGGACTTCCTCATGGTCTCAGGCGCATCTACAGCGCTGAACAAGGAACCTGAAGCTGAATGGATACGTAAAAAGAATCTGTTGGGCTTGCCTTTGTGCAAAAAAGTAAGAGGTCCTTGGTTCGGCTAAGACCCACGGTTCAGTTGGAGTTGCCGGAGGATGAAGACAGGCTTGTCATCAACATCTCCACTTTCAGTTGTCACCAGAGTAAAGCCCTCCCTTACCTCTCTTTGATCTTAACATTTCTGGAAGCTGTGTAATTCTCCAGTCAAACGATCT